TTCAACGTTTATTTTTTATTTTTGGGACAGAGAGAGACAGAGCATGAACGGGGGAGGGGCAGAGAGAGAGGGAGACAGAGAACCGGAAACAGGCTCCAGGCTCTGAGCCATCAGCCCAGAGCCTGACGCGGGGCTCGAACTCACGGACCGCGAGATCGTGACCTGGCTGAAGTCGGACGCTTAACCGACTGAGCCACCCAGGCGCCCCTGAAGTCGGACACTTAACCAACTGAGCCACCCAGGTGCCCCTGGTCACAATTCTTATTAGCTGTGTGACTTTGGCCAGGCACTTAACCCCGAGGTAGCTCAGTCTCTCCATCAATTAAATGGGGATGATGATGATGGTGATAAGGCCTCTTTCATGGGGTTGCTGTATACGTTCAGGCGGTAATATGTCTACAGTACTTATGAGAGTAGTTAGCACATTGCAAGCATGGCTTTTCTGAAAGTGGGATACACATTTTACAATCAAAGTGCATCATAGTTTAACTAGAAGCTTGTTTTCTTAGTGGTTTACAAATTAAGGGTGTTCTAAAAAACTGAAGGTCTCTTAGATTTGACAAAGCATGTGGATTTGTTAAAGAATACTCACTCTTTTCCGTGTGTTTGACCACATGCCCTTGGTTCTAAGTACCTGGAGAGAGGCATACAAGTTTAACATTCATGTTTGTGTCTATGGCATCAGCGCTGTCTCGGCATATATTTATTTTCAATATATGTCTGTTGAATTAATGAAGAGTTAACATACTAGTTGGCTATTCTTTAACCTCAGGTGCCCAGCCTCCCAGAATCTCAATTTTCTTTTCTAAAGAATTAGATGATTAGACTTATTGATTCTTGCTTTCTTCCAGGAAAGAACAGTCCTTACTCTCTTCTCATCCCCCCCAAACCACCCACGTAAAATTCCACAAGAAGTTTCTCTCCCTGAGAATCTCTTTGTCTTTGATCTCAAATCATAATATGGTTTTTATGGATTTCTATAATGGTGACATAGAAAGATATGAAGAAAAATGGATGTCCCCACAGCTAGATCCTTTTATGAGCAATCTACATTTTGAAATTTAAGAAAACGAGATTTCAGATTTT